TTTATATGACATAAATATAGTCTGATATAGTTTGATTCAGCAGACATTTATTTTTCTGCTTTGTTTATACTGTACAGATAGTACCATTTGTTCCTTGAAAGTAGTCACAGATATAAAATAGAGACCATATGGAATATTTGCAAGCTCTGGGGTTTTTTATAACCAGATCTGAGTATGTGTTCCTCTCCATTTTGAATACATATGATTCACTTAACATTTTGTATTTATTCCCTTCTAACTGTGCTGCACGAGTTTTTGCCATTACCCATTTCTATAACACCACAAGTCATCTTTATTGGTAAAGGTAAGTGAAAATTATTTACTCTCTGTCCTTCAAATTCAGTTTAGATTTTTGTTTTGGCTCTGCCAGTATATTTTTACCTCTCAGTTTCTACATTTACCAGAAGGAGAACATTAATGGAGACATTATTGTTGGCATTGCTAAAGATAGCATTTTCAATCTCAAATGTAAAAATAAAAATAATACATCAGTGCTTCAAAAGCATGAGAATGACATAACATTTGTGACAGCTACAATAAACCAAAATATATTTCACGCACTTTTGCACCTGAATCACACACTCAAGCTTCCTCTACAATCACAAAAGTTTTTAAATCACGTGTCCATTAAGCCACACTTCAAAAAACAGATGAACTATCACCAAGTCAGTCTGCCAACCTTTCCTATTGAATCACCTGGATTATTGGCCAGCGTGCTATGGTGTCCTGGATAGCCTCAGGGTTACGTAGACAAGAAGTGCACAGAGATACTGGGTTTGCGTGGTAACCAAGTCAGCTTTCTGACAATAAAAATAGAAAGCCTTATCGCTTTCCTCCCTTCTGCTCCAACAGATGTTAAAGAAGTGCAACAAGCCTTGGAAAACACAAGATGAGGTGAAGATAGCGATAGTCATTTCCAGAAAACAGGCTCGTTTTCCCTTCTTTTTTTCATGTTGGACCAGGCCTGTTGTATATCACCGTGATGTTTGTCCATGAATGAATGGATTCTCTTGGGACACTTGCAGATAACACCCCCCAGGGTGCAACTGAAGAGGGTGTATGTTCCATTAAAACACAGATAATGGGATGTCTGACACTAGAAAGCAATTCTAAGTAATCATATACAGCTTACACCCGCCTTTTGTAATCCAAACCTATTTCCTAATCACTCTGTAGAAATATAAAAAAGTTTAGCAACACTAATGAAGCACCTGTTAGGCTCTCACATGCAAAAGTACCGAGCACAGCTGGAGCAGAGTGATGGCATGGAGTAAATTCTACTTCAACTGCTGAGGATACTTAGGAAACTAAATAGATTAATATTTACACAAATGAGAAATTAAGGGACTTGATGGTCCTGCCTGTTGTCCTTCACTGGCTAAAGGGCAGGAAAATTCTGAATCACAAGATAATCAGATTTTCTGATCCATAATGAGGGTTGAAAGCATTTGCTATGAGCATATTGAAACTGTAAAAATATGTCTAATTTCTAGACAGAAGAAGTCATGAACTTGGTGTTGAGGCTGTAAATAAATTGTTCCTTCAAGAGGGAAACTTAATACTGTGTGCACTAATAAAAACAGATATTTATGGCTCCTCAGTACTTAATTTTACAGCTGTGTTTGTGAGCTCCTTTAAGCTTCATCTGGGGAATCTTTTGCATACTGCAGGAACTGCAACCAGTGAGAGTTCCCAGTCCTCCGGGCAGCAGCACTGTCCCTGTAGGACGGACAAGGAAAGGCAGCCAAGTTGCCCAAGTCCACTGTGGGGGTCAGGATTAGCCACGGCGCTTTGGAGGAGCTGAGACTCTTCCTTCAGAGCTGCTGGTGTTTATGGAGTCCTGGCATCGCCCGGACTCTCCAGGGCAACATCAGACCACGTATCTCCTGCTTGCCTCTTCTAGCAAAGACTAACTGGCTGCATTAGCACATGAACGGGGTTGGGGGGGGGTGCCTTGCCCTACTCTCTGGGATGAATCCCAAGGCATCTTTACCACTGCCCATGCCGTGCTAAGGGATACTTCTCTATACTCATATGAGTAGGGGAACTTGTAGATGCTCAGGCTCCACACCGACACCATTTTCACTGGTGGTCACTGGATATTTTTGCAGTTGTTGAACCACTCAAACATCTCAAAAGACAGGAGTCAAAGTAAGTTTTCAAATAAATAATTATTAGCACAATAAGAAACTACCTGTAGGATGGACATAAAACCCACAAAAAAAACCATCCCCAAACAACCTAAACTATTCCCTTTTATCCCCATCGGTCTTAAATTTTGCACGATCTAGGTCTACGCTATTACAAGGATGCTGAGATGTCAAACCCTGGCTACTTTGATAACTTGCCAGTTTAGCAGAGAGTTCAGTTAGTTGGGGACAGCCCAAACCCTGTAGACTTTGGCATCTTGCCTGCGGCTACACACATTTCAAACCACAGCCACCCTGCCTTATGCAAGAGTGGATAAATACCACAGCTGCGGGGGTATAACACGGGCAAGATTTCCAAAGCTGAAAGAAAGACTCTCCGTGACAATGGTGCTGAAAGGTTTAAGTGGGTTCAAATACTCCGGTACCAGGTCCTGCCAAAAATGTATGTTAGAGAGGGAGAAGGAGGGGATCACGAAGGGGAGAAAATAAGAAGGTGGCTCAGGAAACAGGTAACATGTTACACTGATTTAGGAAGATTCAAGAAAGGATTTGATGTTTATCAAATAACCCAATCAAAAATTTTGGAAGTGTTGTAAAATCTGCTACTTCAAGGCAACCTGTAACCTTTTGACATGAAAATGAACCTTTACAAAGTGACAGATTACCTTTTTATTAGGGAGTTTCTTGCGCCTTTGTTTTTAACATCTGTTGTGCTCATTATCAGTGAAGAGAGACAATTTTATGTGGGCTTTGGGTTACAAAGAACATAACTGCATTAATTTTATTTTTATTTTATTTTCATCAATCAGAAAGTGCTAAGTGAGAACAAGGCAAGACGTGAAGAAAGAATTCTTGAAGGCCTAAAGGAAAAACACCGAGGTACAAAAGATTAAATCAATGCACTGAAACTGAATCTCACTTCTCTCGTCACAGGACGGCAATAGTTCTGCACATGTGAATCATGTCACTATTATGAGATATAACAAAATTATTGCTCTAAAAGAGTTGTGCAAACAGTTAATGCAAATCAGCAGCTGGGGCAGGAATATGAGCTGAGTTGCACTGCTTTTAGGGGAGTAGCTCTCCCTCCTTCCTCTACGTCTTGTCTACCTAAAATACAGCCACCTGCATGGGACCATGTCGCTTCTGTGCACATGATGAATGTGCTCACGCACACACGTGTGCACACACAGAGAGCACCTTATCCTACTTATCTCAGGAACTTCTCTATAAAGCTTCCACATAGAGCAACAAAGCAGTGATCTTACACTCAGGGGAGTCTTGTTTAAAAAACGAAATCAGGAGGACTTCCAGACTTCCCCTCTCCACTAAAGTCACTTGGGTTCTTTTACACACTTGAGCTACGTTTTTCACCAAACTCTGTAATTACCTCCTAGAAGTCCTGTGACACCAGCCAGTAGCACCAGTCCTTCTCTAATCTCTTACACTTTATGTACAAAACAGAAAATAGAAAGTTTAAATAATGCTGCTTTAAGTACGATGAAAACATTAAGTGAATTTTATGTCAGTGAAAGATTTCATTTTTTATAATCTCACATCTCCTAGAGCATTTCCCATCCTCCCCCTAAAAAACAGGGAAAATCATTGATGGCATAAAGGTGCACTGTTATCAAATACAATTTTACTACTAATTTTAATTTTTAGTAGTAAGTAGGTTCTGGGTGAAATCAGAATCAAAAAGGGGATTTTCTTCCCCACATCTTTCACGCCCCCGTTAGTTATGCTCTGAAGCCTTATCAGCATTCTCTTGACACATTTTGCTTAATACTGGTATGCCAAAAACATCTCTCTGCAGTAACTCTAGAAAATACCTATATTTAGACAGTCCATGTCAGAAAACAGAAATTGCCAGCAGTGCTTCAGAAGAAACCTGTATCTACTTCCAGGATCCTCCAAAGTATGAGCAGACCTCGAGCGCTCATGTAAATATGGGTAAATCCAGGACATCACCTCCAAATTTGTGGCCGAAGGAACATCAGACTGCAAAGTCAGCCTGAGTCTTCTCTTCCCCAGCCCTGGCTTTCTGGCAGTTCATCAGGCACCAGTAGCTGTAGGTTGCCAGGAGATCTGCCTAGCAATTCCTTCAGCAACTTTCACTGGAGTTCTGGGCTCCAGAAAACTTATTTGGAGGCTACACTAACTTTCTCATAGATTTTTGGTAAGGAACAGAAGGGATTGTGATAAGTCTGCTCTTTCCTTGCCTTCCAGGTCCTACTTGTGTATTTTTTTACATATCCACGCACATAGATAATGCGGTTCTGTATACTGTGTTGCACAGCCATTATAAAGATAATATTAAGGGGTAGATTTGGAATCATTACCTGTTTGTGAGGTCTGTTTGTGAGGTCTCCGTCTGCCACCGTGTTGTTACTGGATGCACTTTAATTGCTGTCCTGGTCATTTGTGAACTCAGCATGCCAGGTCTAAATTAGCAATGGATGTGTGTACTTTCAGGCTCTACATACTAAAATGAAAAATAACACTGAGAACAGCAATAATGTTAAACCGCTGGGCAAGAGGTGGGGGAGATCTCGGGGGACTATGTATGGGTGAAGGGGCATCTCTCTTTTCCTAACCTCCCTACCGCTGCCAGCCTGAGCTTATCAGAAGCCCAAGACTTATCTGCTGAGACGTCACCTCATAGAGAGATGCTGCAGTGTAATGGGACGCTGTACCAAGAGTGGAAGGACACCAGCCCTGAAGTCTGGGGTCTCACTGTGCATCTCTCCTCATGTCCTTTCTTGCTGAGGGTATGGTACTCTCACAGCCCCCCACACTGCAACAGCTCTGCTCGGGCACTGCTGCTTTGCCAGGGAATGGGACACGACCATGGCTTGTCTCCAGCCCTTCCCCGCTGCCAGAGCAAGCAGCGGTGCCCGCAGGACAAGGAGGAAGGGATCGGGGCAGAGGAAAGAGGCACGGGATGGCTGGGTTGGGTCAGGCCTCCCAAGGCACAAACCTGTTTTTGCAGATGCTGCAGTATTGCGCTATCAATTCCCAGTAACCCTGGCGGCGTGCGGAGCCGCGCATGGAGAACTGCGATACAGCTGTGCTATCGGGGTATTGCCCCGCACTGTGTGACTGATAAGCGAGCGCACAGCAAATCACAGCTCCCGACTGAGTGGCAGCGACCTTTACTCTTACCTCAAGGCTCTGCTGGCACGTGATATCTGGAAACAGCCTGGGTGCTTTCCTCAGAAGAGTTTGTCACAGCCAACGCATACAAACCTTGATGACAACACCTAATGCTGACGCGGTTCCAGTTTCTTCCGTGCAAAGACTCGGCATGTCCCCAGTTCCCGGGGCTGATGGGCGTCATCGTGCAGCCAAGCACTGAGGTGGACTGAAAGCACATTTGTTGCATTAGACATGTAGAATGTGCTTGGTCACCAAACGTGACAAATTTCATAGCTGAAGGGATAACCTGATGTAGAGAATGTGGGAGTTTTTTCTGTTTGGATGGCAGGTTTATCTCTGCTCAGTTTTTTAAGACAAGAGGATAATGCCCCCGTTGGACGGTAGGGCCCATACGTATCGGTGGGGTAATGCAGTCTGCCGTGTTGTGTTCACGTCTCTGCTGGGCATCAGAAGTTCCAGGAGAAGGAAAATAACGTGAACAAAGCTTTCAAAAGTGGTGACTTGTTTAGGAGAAGTTACCTTTGTGTGTACTTGCATCTAATAAATAAGATGGCAGACCTTGATTATAGCGAGAGCATTAGCCACTAACTTTTTAAAGAGATAATTGGTCTATCTCTGAAGCATATTATCTGTCAAGTGATCTGCTTATTCACAGATTCTGCACAACAAAGTATTTTCCCTTATCTAACAGTGAATCATATATATATCTCTCTCTGTAAATGACTCTGTCAAGATCACATTAATCATCATTAAACAGTAAATTAGTAAATGTCCAGTCAGGAAATACCACTCAGCTTAGACACGTTTCCTTTTTTTTTTTAATTTTAACAACAGCTTATTGTCTTCTTTTTAAAATGGAAAAATGTGGGCATTTTAGTATGAATAGCCACAGATAGCCCCACCTTGGCCAGAGAAAGTAAGATAAGCAGTAAGTCTAATTTATCTTCGCTGATTTATGGTAAATTTTGATCACTGAGGCTTGCCACTTGACCTTGGCTTGGACTAGGGTTCATTGTCTCTGCATCACACTCACGTTGCTGTCTGTCATGGAGCGAATGGTCTTCCAGCACAGAGGGCTCTCAAGTACCAGTGAATTAGAATGACAGACTTTAGAAACATTTGGCAATTTTCAATATATTTTGGGAGATCAGCAAAGTATTTCCAATTCAGGTCCCTTTGCAGGTTTGCAAAGCACATAACTTGCAAAGTAATTTGTCGTTCCCTTCCTAGTAGCCAACCAACACATCTGCAGGCACGTAGCTCTAGATTAATGGAAATACTCCTGTATGTGTTGCTTTTGCCCAGAGAGGAGAGTATTGCTGGAGGAAAGAAAGAAGTGAGAAGGTGTAAATGGCAGGCATGGAGTTGACAGGCAGGAGAAGGGCAAAGGTGGGGGAATTTGGTGGGGAATCAGGCTGCAACAGCCAGGGAGGAGGTGCAGGGGCTGTGGGCAATGGGGAAACAGGTGGGAAGAGAGGCAGACGGGGGATTCAGACACAAATACATAGTAATCCGAACTTCTTTAAATCGGGTGGTCATGGGAAAATGTGGTTTGCTTCCAGTCACTGCTAGATATCATCACTGGATGATCTCTGGAAGTCCCTTACAATTTATATTAATTTTTTTTTAGCATCAACCCTGCAAATAGCAACTGTTTCAATTTACACGAGTGCATATGATCAAACTACTTAATTGCCATTGTAGCAAAAAAATGAAGACAAAATCAGATCCCAGCATATGGGAACCCAACAGAGAGGTAATTCATTTATGGTATCACATATAAAAAATATGATACAAATAGGACTGGAATTTTTGAAATCAATATTTGTCTAATCTAAATCTTACATTGTTATTAACATATAAAATTCTGCAGCTTCTAGAGAAAAATTCACATATAAGAATTTAGGACCAAAAGCTCCATAGTAATTAAAAAAAAAAAAAAACAACAACAAAACCAACCAAAAACAAAACCAAAACAAACCACAGAGATGAACCCTGTTAAAAGAACTGGCAGAAAAATCTCATTTCAGACTGGGTGATAAATGCATATGGCAGATCAAGAAGCACATAAGAAATACACGGCTGCTAGACCAGAGCTTTGAATTAACTTTAGTAGGTGGAGCCAGGAAGCAGCAATGAGGATAAAACAAACCATGTGTCCTGGAATAATTAGATAATTCTCTGACACAGCCCACACAGTTTTGGCTGGTTCAGGCCTGTTTCATGGCTGGTTCCCTGTGTTCTGATGTCGTCCTCCATCCATTTCCCTCACTCCGGACTAAGTTCCTCTGCAACCACAAGCAGATATTCTCCAGACTAAAATTCAGAACCGAGAAAACAAGCTATATTGGAAGGCTTAAATAGCCCGTGGGGTCATATGGCATCTGGCCAGAACTGGCGATGCTTTGGAGACCCTTTAAGAGCAGGCAAATGAGCACAAAGTAGGAAGGAGACATTATTTTATGGATCTAAATGTACTGCAGCCTATGCTCTTAAAATATCTCAGCACATCCATGGGGAAAAAGACAGGGGGAACACCGCAATTATACCATTATTTCTCAACATTGTTGTACTCTTAAAAACGCACATCTGTCATTTGAGATGATTTATCATGCTCTTTACTTGGAGCTGTTGTCAGTCAACACGGGCTATTTCGCTGGTTTACAACTGTCTCAAATCAAAGTCTTTACAGCGCTGCCATTTTGCCCAGATTATTTTTAGTGCAGGTGTTTCACTTACACAGAAGGAAGCAGCGATATGTTGTGATCAAAGAGGACTTGAAAGTCCAGAGTGCCAACAGCAGCTCTTCATCAGGTGCTAGCTGACTCACTGGCTTTTAATGTGTAAAATGAGTAACTATTATTAAGGTAGGAGTTGATAAGGGTGTTTCACCAAAGTTAACAGAGTGGACAAACGCCGGCCTAGTGAATACTGATGCTGACTGTGGAGCCAGTCAATTAATACTGCTAAAGCATTAGAAGATTTGCATAACAAGCGTAGGGAGTGTTATGATTTAGTAACATCAGTATTTTGTGCCTTCTCTTCTCGCTGTCGATGAAATCACTGCAGACTTACAGGTTCCTCTGCCGGCAGCCCCGCTCTGTCGCGCCCGCCCTCCCCCTCCATCGCCCCTCGCAGCCGCTGTCACCCCCCGGAGGAAAGGGCCAGCACGG